AGCAGGAGGAGGCGAGCGCAAGCGCAGCAGCGGCGAGAAGAGAGGGCAGCACGGCAGGGAGCGACTTGCAGCGAAAGAAACGGACGGCAGCAGAGACTGGTGGAGAGGGAGAGAGGGAGAGAGAGGGGGGGAGAAAGGGAGAGGGAGAGGGAGAGGGAGAGGGCAGAGAATTTTAGAACAACTTGAAGATCACCTCCATGCAGCACGGCGGGGAGGGCCTGGGAGGGGAGAGGGGAGGGGAGGAAACGGATGGCAGCAGAGACTGGTGGAATAGTTTTGAGGCGCCTTAAAACGAGGGTGGGAGGGAGAGGGGAGAGGGGAGGGAGCGAGGCGATGAACGCGAGGAGGATGGCTTTGTTGTTGCAATGAGATTTTGCAATGGACGAGAGAGCTGAGGGGGATTGAGTTGTAAGGAGGAAGCATTGATGGAGGCGCGCAAAAACACACCCGCAATTGGCACGTCACTCCGCTCACCAAGCCCCTAACAGTTACTAGCTGTACCAATAGTTACCCGCCCAATAGCTGTAGCGGTCTCTGCCTCTTATCCCAATAGCCAGTCTCCGCTCACCCCGCCCCAAACAGCTACGAGCTGTACCAATAGCAGTCTCTGGCTCAGCCCCCTACCCCAGCCCACTAAGTGCTACTTGCTTCGCACACGCCAGACCCCAACTCCCTCGCACTCCTCAATATCCATCCCCCCCTCCCCCGTCTCCTCTCCTCCCCTATCCCTCCCGCCCCCGCCTCCGCCCCCATCTCCCCCCTCCCCCCCGCCCCGCACCTGCAACAGCGGCCGCCACTGCCCCCACGGACGCCCACACGCGCGCCAGCGACCCAGGCACTCCGCCCAGCCAGCCCTGCTCCACCCACCCCCACAGGAACGCCCCCCCGCGCTCCCTGACCGCGCCCTCCGCCGCTGACAGGACCGCGGATACGGAGGGAAAGGCGGAGGGGGAGGGGGAGGGGGAGGCGGAGGCGGGAGGAGGCGCGGGGGAGGTGATGGGCGCGGAGGGTTGGGGCTGGGGCGCGGTGGTAAGGCGAATGCCGTAGGGCCGCGGACTTACGTAGCTGTGGGGAGAGAGGGGGCAGCGGGGAGGGGGGTTGGGGGGTGAGGGGGTGGGGGGAGGGGGAAAGAGGAGAGGGATGAAGAGGATGAGGGGGAAAGGGGACCACGGAGGCAGGATAGGGATGAAGGGCTTAAGGGGTTGCTGATTTGAGAATGCTAAGAATGCTAATAATGCTAAGAATGCTAATAATGGTAATAATGCTTGTAGCGCTCATAACGCTACAAGACATTTGTAAAGGTCACCAGCGTCTGAGAGAGAGAGAGAAAGAGAGAGATTTAGTTTCGAGTTGAGTTCTTAGCTAAGAATGCTAATAATGCTAAGAATGCTAATGATTTAGCTTAAGGGGTTGCTGATTTAGTTTCGAGTTGAGTTCTTCATCCGGTCCCTGCAGCGGCGCTCGCAAGAGCGAGAGAGAGAGAGAGAGAGAGAGAGAGAGAGAGAGAGAGAGAGAGAGAGAGAGAGAGAGAGAGAGAGAGAGAGAGAGAGAGAGAGGAGAGAGAGAGAGAAGAGAGAGAGAGAGAGAGAGAGAGAGAGAGAGAGAGAGAGAGAGAGAGCATGAGTCCCTCTCCAGCTATATAAGCTCTCTCCCTCCCTCATTCTTCCTGTTTAGTTTCCAGTTCTTTCTTTTCTCCAACCCTTGGTGGCGAGAGAGAGGAGAGAGAGAGCGAGAGAGAGAGAGAGAGCATGAGTCCCTCTCCAGCTATATAAGCTCTCTCCCTCCCTCATTCTTCCTGTTTAGTTTCCAGTTCTTTCTTTTCTCCAACCCTTGGTGGCGGCTCGCGTCGGCGGCCTTCGGCCGCCGACGCTCGCAGCGCGGCCTTCGGCCGCGCGTGAGGGGCGGCAAGGACACAAGGCTACAAAGTCAGCTACGACAACATCAAATACACGCATCCGGGGTCTACAACCCGCCAACACTACACTCGGCAAACAAGCATGGAGAGCCTCACAGAGCTCACCAGAGCGCTCACGCTAGAGCGCACTTCACCAACCAGAACCTACACACGACGGCAGCCCATCATACGGCTTCGTCCGCTCCAGCCTCCTCAAGCAGGGCCCTCACATAGTCCCCCAGGAGCATCAGCGCTGACACGGCACCGCCAACGATGTCTACAGCTGCAGCCGAGTCTACGCTCGCCGATACTGTCCGCATCACGGCGAGCAGGCGCGGGTCCAACACGGTTCCCGAGGCGGGCACAGGCTGCACTCGCGTGGACACGACAGCCAGATCAGCTGCAGCCATCGCGCAGCGCTGGAGCGGATCGTGAGGCATCTTGCACGGGCTCACTGAGCTCCGTAGAACGGAGTGTGAGTCCGTCAGCATCTCCACAGCATACCCCATCGCCCTCTGCGCGTGCCAGAGCCGACGAAGCGTGGCGATTGGGATCGCAGTCTCCGCCAGCCGCTCCCTCCCCCGCAGGCGCTCCAGCTGCGCCCTCTGCGGCATCCGCAGCCCACCCGAGCGACGACGCCCCTGGTCCCCAGGAGGCGAGTCCTCGCCCGTGGACTCCGCTCCCCCCATCTCCGCTGCTTCTGCACCCCCCTCAACTCCAGTCGGTGACGCCAGCGAACGGCGGGGGGGACAAAGGGCGCTGTCGCCCGCTCGCCGAACGATGCCGGTGCCACCAACGGCGGTGGGCCACGGGACCATCCTGCCACCGACACATCCGGGGGCGTCGGCTGCCAGGGCGGCAGTATCTCCGCGGACCGCACGTCCATCCGACGCGGATCGAAGGGACCGGCCGAGGGGAGGACTGGCGGAGGGGGTGCGGAGGGAAGGGACGCCAAGAGGTGCTGGCTGTCAAGGAGCGGGAGAGATGTCACACTGCGGGGAGGGAATGGCGGCGTCGGTGCCTGAGGAAGGGGCAAACGCACGGGCGGCAAGTGCGCCTGCTGGTACTGCTGGGGCGCCAGAAGCTGCGGAGAATACGCCAGAGCCTGCTGGGGTTGGGCGACACTGCGGAACAAGCCCTCGAGAGTCGCCGCGGCCCGCCCTAGGCGCCTCTCCGCCGCGGACCCACGGTTACTCCCCCCGCCAGCCCTCCAGCCGACGCGCTGGCCCGAACGCCCGCGCGGCGCCTGCGGAGTCCGGCGCTGCTGCCCAGGCCCCGCCTGTGGGCGGCGCTGAGGCGTTCCTCGGCGGGCGGGATGCTGCTGGCGCGGTGACTGCTGCACCTCGCCACGCGCCACTGGTTCACGTCCAATCTCCACGGCGCGCTCGGGGGATTTCTCCTCGTGTCTCGCGGGCGCGGCAGTCCTGCCCCGCGACTGCCCCCGCATCCGCTCGGGAGTCTGTCGGCGAGCCGTCGAGGGGCCGAGGAGCCCGCGCTCCCAATCCCGGCTCGACGGCGCTGGAGGACTCGCCCGACCTTGGGGCGACTTGCTGTCCCCAGTACTCTCCAAATCGGCAGAACGCTCCCGCGCTGGTCGCTCCATCCCAAGGAGGCGCGCCGCACTCGGCACCCCCCACGACTCGGCACGAAAGCCGAACGACGACCAGGGCCGCCCCGAGAGGAAACCACGGAGGCGGACGCGGAAGACTCAACGCACGGACGGCCGGAGGGCGCGGTCGCGGGGCGGCAAGGCGTGGCAATCTGTCCTCCGATGGAGGACCACTGAACGGATTCCAGCAGGCAGCGAATAGGGCTTTAAATGCCTCGGAACTGCAACGAACAACTGATGAGGAGGAACGGGCGGACGGAACTTATATACCAGGGGTCCAGGGAGACCCCACGACTGCAACCTCCAGCGAGGAGGAAAACGTCGAAACAAACAGGCGCGCTGGAGGACGAGAGACTGACCCATCTCCCAGATCTAGGGGACGAGGGTCCAGCCGCTTGCACAATACTCGGGCACCGCTGGACACCCACCCCCAGGCAGCCCAGCAGTTGTCCCCGGAAGAACTGGCGAATGACCCCTCCAGATTCGCCGTCATCGCCACTTGGGACGTCGCAGTTCTCTGCGACAGTCGCCAACCCCCTCTCTCCCGCCGGTTACCCCCCCAAATCCGTCAACTTTTCGCGCTCGCCCTTCTGACACCTCTCCTTTTCCTCGCCAAACATCCAACCTCCATCGAGGGTTGGATCTTGTTACTTTACCTCCCGCGCCTCACACTTCGCCTACCCTCGCCACGACGCCCTGACTGGCCCGCGACGGAACGACGACTTCGACAATTTCTCGCGGGCCAGTGGGACACACTGTATCAAGCAGCTGCCTCTGCTGTCACCCTGCCACCCCCTCCCCGCCACGTACCTGACACTCTCGGGAAAATATCCCGCGCCGAGGGCTTGGTACGACGAGGCAGTTTGCGACGGGCACTGCTCGCGTTGACTTCGACCCCAGTCAGCAAGTCCACCCCCACGGTCCTGGACGTGCTGAAGTCAAAACACCCCCCTCCGCTTGTCGAAAACCTCACCTGGCCACGGCTCGACGAAAACTGCAGGCCACCGACAGTCGATTTCGCTACGTTCGCGAAGCTGCTCTCTCGCTCCGAAAATGGAGTTGGGGCAGGCCCCTCGGGGATGACTTTCGAGCACCTTCGCGATGCCTCGCTGTCCAACCCCACCGTCGCCACAAATCTTCACCAGCTCGTCCAACGGTTACTCGCGGGTAACCTGCCGCACGAGGTCAGCCAACTCGTTACCTCCTCACGCCTCCTGGCCCTTACCAAGCCCGATGGGGGTACCCGCCCCATCGCAATAGGAGAATGTCTCCACCGGCTAGCAGCAAAATCCGCGCTAATCTCCGCCACGCATTCAGCGCAAGACTACTTCCTACCACACCAATACGGGGTGGCCATCAGAAGCGGCGGAGAAACCATCATCCATGCCACCAGGGGCTTTACCTCAGCGCGCCCGGGCTCACTCATCCTACAAGTCGACCTTTCAAACGCCTTCAATAGCGTTGACCGCGCGGCCATCATCCACGCAATCAACACCTCGCCCCTGCGCCCGCTCCTCCCCTTCATACAATTCTCCTACGGAGCACCGTCCCTGCTCTACCTCGACGCCGAGTTCGACAGCCCACCCCTACTCAGCGCGCGGGGAGTTCGCCAAGGGGACCCCATGGGCCCCCTCCTCTTCGCAGCTGCCATCCACCCAGCGCTCCAGACAACCGCCGCGGCCCACCCCGAGGTCCTCTGCCTCGCGTACGCCGACGACATCACCTTCGTCGGCGATCCGGACGCCTGCACCTCGGCGTTCCTCAATTTCACAGCGGCCATGGACCGCATCGGTCTCTCCCACAACCCCGCGAAATGCGCGGCGTGGTCAGCCGAGCACCCTGCACCTGACCGCCTTCCCCCAGGCATACCTTTCAACACAGAAGGCGTCCGCGTGCTTGGCAGCTTTATAGGCACAGCCGAGGGCACAGCCGCATTCCTCCGCACCCAGCTAGCCCAGCTAGCCGAACCCCTCGCCACACTGGCCACCATGGACCCTCAGTCCTCATCCCTCCTCCTCACACGCTGCGTATCTCGGCGTGTCTCATACTTAATCCGCACCACCCCCCTTGACTTCCTACCCCTGGACGTCTGGTCCGACTGGGGTCGGGAGCTCTTCTATACCCTCCTGCGTGCCTGCAACCTCCAACCACCTCGGGGCGAGGTGGAGCGAGCGCGCACTTGGGATCAAGCATCCCTCCCTCCCTCTCTTGGCGGACTGGGTCTAACCGACCCCGCAATTGAGGGATACCCAGCCTACCTCACCAGCCTCACCCAAGCCCAGGGCCTCTTGGCTGACCTCCCAGCAGCGTCAGGAGGGCCCCTGGCCGACGCTGTCCGGCACCTCACGCCACCTTTCACCAGCCCCACCCACTTGCATACCTGGCTGGCGAAGTGTGAAACGGCGATGCCCCCACGAGCCCGGGAGCTCCTGCACTCCGAGAGGACGGAACCCTCTGGCTCCCCACTCCAACACCGCTTATCCCTCGAAGTCCAGGCCGTGCGATACGCCGGCCAGGTGGCAGCCACGCGGACAATGGACCCAAACCCACTCTCTGGGCACA